TTGAAATAGAGTTAGTAAAGAAGACAATACGAAAGGAAATTAATGATTGTGAGGAGAAAAGAAAGAATCTATGTAGGAAAAATATTATTTTGCACATCTTTTGACATTAACAAACTGCATAAACAATAACAAAGATGAAAGTCTACTACCTTTGTTCAAAGTCTCAATAACCATTACATAAATAAACACTTAAACAAATGTACCACAACCAACCGTTTGACCACTTCAACAAAAAATTAAATAAAAATATATACAAAAAAAAATTAAATAAACAAATGTTCTTATAATTACATTCAACACGCATTTTCCCTTTCCCTTTCCATTTCCAAATCCCTAGCTAAATCTATGATCCAAACATAACATTAAGGAAATATAATGGTTTCAACATTATAGAAAGCAAAGCACATTCACATAATTTTTCTTCTTCTTTTGTGCTAGCTTATTATTTTCCAAAAAAATTCAAAATATAATAAAAATGTGGGAGTGGATTTTCCAAATGATTTGAGCCAACATCAATCAATATGTTATAGTTACATGAAGTTATATATCATAAAGTGAGTAATTATAAATGAAAGCAACTATGACTTTGGTTATAATTCTTGCTTAACATAAATTATTTATACGTAGAAAAGTTCCTAGAATTTGAATGTTTGGTATTTATACTTATGCAGAGCAGGCATCTGATATTACTGAGACAACAAAAAGTGCTATGGAAGCATGGCCTTGACATAACACTGGCAGTGGCATCCGATAAGCCAAAAAATATCCTTAAAAAGAACATTGGCACAACAGAATTTGGGCTTCAAAGAATTCCATGCATGTTTTCTTGGGAAAACTGATGAACATTCCAACTTATAACCAAACTACAAGAGCACTACAATGGCATCTAAATAACAGCCCCCAAATAACAGATCAAACAAAGAACAGCCACCCACAAATCAAACAGAGAACAGCACAGATAGATAAGGAAACCAGAATAAGCAGAAGCTGGATTAGCAGAACCAGACAAGGCCAACAATTGAGGCCACACCAAAACTGAGGCAAACAAAACACCTCAAATAGCAGCAACACCAGAATGGCAGTTCAAAACAACAGAGCCTACGTGAAATCAGAAACCAGAACAGTTCACCATACAGTAAACCAGTACAGCAAGGAGACTGGCAGTTCACCATATAGAAAAAGTATCATACTTGATGTTAAAACTAGAGTCGGCATTGGATTACCTATACAGGTGATCTTCAACTTATTTCTCATATCAATAAAACTTTTCCTAGTAGCAAAACTATTAAAAACTACTCTCAAATTTATTTTATTTTCACATTTTATTTATTTATTTATATTATTTATTTATTTTTTGTGTGTATAGTACTTCTAATACTTATTTTATAGATAATCAATGTGTTCTCTTTCACTCTCTTTGAAGAATAATAGGTGACTAAAAAATTGGATAACATGATATAAAGTAAAGAATGTTCGATTATTGGAATTTTACCATAAGATGCCACTTTAATATTTTTTTCGTATATATTTTCATCTAGGTCAAAATATTGGATTCACGGGAGTTTTCAAATTAATTTTCAAACCACTAGTGGACGAGTTTCCATATTTTGGGGCTGTTTGTTATTCTTTGATGGAAAAGGTGGGTACTTTGTATCTTTGTCCCTCTTTGAACTTATTAGTCTAGTTTCCAACATTTTGGAAGTCATCTTCATGATAAATCACGCAAATTTGTGCAAATATTCATATTTATTTCATGTCATCATAAAAAGAATTATATAAAATTTTGAAAAATTACTATGCACTTGATTTTTGATACTACAATTCCCCCTATGATTCTGCCATAGAAAAACATGGACTTTACACTCAAAGTTGTAGGTGGGGAATTATCAGCAATTCTCGAAATTTCTGATGCTATTGAGGTTTCAGAAATTTTATAT